CCCGCTGCTGCGAGTGGGGACAAGGCCCCGCCGGGGTGGGGGGTCCAGACCCCGGCCGCGCTTCAGCCCCTGAAATCCCAGCTCTGGAACGCTCACGGCGAGCTCACCTCCTCTCTGTCCTCTCCCGCAGGCTCCGAAGCTGGCTGAGACCTACTGCGTGTGCCACCTGGCAACCGGGGACATGCTGCGGGCCATGGTGGCCTCGGGGTCCGAGCTGGGCAAGCGGCTCAAAGAGACGATGGATGCGGGGAAGCTGGTGGGTAGCGGGGAGATGGTCTGGCTGCACCTGGAACGGGAGCAGTCAAAATGCACTTCTTAATTAGAAGCCTCAGTGATAAAACCCAATTAGTGGAGGAAGGGCAGGTTGTAGGGTGAAGACAGGGGTGGGGGTTCTCCTTCTCGTTATCCTGCAGGAGAAACATCCTATAAGAATACCGTTGCTCTTCAGAATTGCTCCTTGCTTACCAGCAGCCTCTCTGTCCCTGGGCTGGTTGTTTCTGCTGTGGTGCTTTTATGTTCGTGGGGTGCAGTCTGGATTGTGGCTCCTGAACGCTGAGGGGAAGAAGGTTTATCCTTGGAGCTGCAGGACGGTACAGCCATGCTTTGCGGCTCCTGTGTCTCTTCACGTGATGCCTGGACCCCTGTGGGGTGGGAGAGTTTGTTCAGAGGGTTCATCTATGTCCCAGCTCTTGCATAAATGCCATTTGCTTGTAACTGTAAGGTCAAAATAGCCTTAGGGGTGTTGCTGTGGTAGTTACAGTGGGTGCTGCGTAATGCTGTGTGAAAGAGATGCTTTGGATCCCCAAGAGACAAGTTAGGATCTCTGACACATTTATTTTCTGAGGATCTCATTATCTTGCCAACATAACTGAAATATCTTGGGGAAACTTGAAGGACAGCAAATTGCAGTGACTCGCCCCAAAGCTAAGCGGTGCAGGGCAGATCTTGGGCATCGCTGCTGGCTGTCACGGGCTTGTAACGCCCTACGGAGAATCCGCAGGCCCCGGGTGGGAAGAGCAACGTGGCTTATCTCCAGCTTTCGCTCAAAGCTTGCATTGCAACACCGAGCCTGCGATACCCCAGCTGGTTATGAAAGATAGGGACGTTATGTGGCAAGGCTGGTCGTATCTGCCACGTGTGTGTGGCAGCCGGCACCGGGCCGCTCCACAGGTATACCCTAGCAGCGTACTCTGGCTCCCAGATAACTCGGCTGGGAGCACAGCAGCGTTCGGAGCCTGGGATGGGTGTTTGTGCTCGATTACGAAGCAGGAGCCCTTTCTCCAAAAGGGGTAATCAGGAAAGCACAGAAGTGACTTCTTGCTTTACCCAAACTGCTTCCCGCTCCAGGGCTCTTGTTTACGTGTGCTGTGACAGTCTAGTCCCCGATCCTGCTGGCTCCCAGCTGTGTGTGCTGGAGGAAACAGCACTGCTGAGGAGAGCTACTCGAATAAACAGCTATTGTTGGGGCTGCAGCATCTGTTAGTACTTTCCAAATGCTGCAGTGCAGAAAAGGCTCTAATCCCAGTAGTATGCTGAGATTGTGATAGGGGAAAAACTGTCCAGCGAGGCCAGAGCTTTTCAGCAACTATTGGGCATTTACCTTTGCACCAGATTTATGAGATTCAGTGAGCAACTCACCTGCTTTGCCCTTCCTGGCCAGGCCTGCCTACTGAGAGGGATGTGTGGGTGAAGGTACAAAGTAACAGGAAATAAAGGTTATGTCGGTATTTTGTATTGTGAATTGGTTTAAAAAAAAAAAAATCTAGGGAGTTTGTCTTCAAGCTGACGGTCTCCCTTGGAATACAGCAACCTTTGTAACAGTGAGGTTACAGCGCTGGTCCAAGTCCCTGCACAGGCTGGAGTGTCCCTGGCATGAAATGTCTCGTTAGCCATGTCTTAGCGTTGACACCCATGGCAGGGAGCGCTTCCCTGACACGGACAGGTCCGAACATGCAGCTTTTGCCCTGTTAACAGGAGTGCCCTGCGCTGTGGCTGCTGCCTCTGGGACCGGGGAGGGCTGTAAAAAGGGTCTGATGCAGCCTGGGCGCTGGCAGGAGTACAGAAGCGCTGGAGGCAGCTGCGTGTAAAATTGGGGTGTCTTTTCTGACCGTGTGCCCGTCGCTCCTCTCCGCAGGTGAGCGATGAGATGGTGGTGGAGCTGATTGAGAACAACCTTGACTCCCCTCCCTGCAAGAATGGCTTCCTCCTGGACGGCTTCCCACGCACGGTGAAGCAGGCCGAAATGGTACGTGAGCTGTTTGGGGACTGCTCTGGCATCTGCTCCTTCCCTGGAGACGGGGGTCCCTTGGCTCTGCCTCTGCCCCTCTCAGTTGGGCGTTTTCTGTTGCAGCTGGATGAGCTCCTGGAGAAGCGGAGAGAGAAGCTGGACTCTGTCATTGAGTTCAGCATCCCTGACTCCTCGCTCATCCGGAGAATCACTGGACGGTAAGTCTCTCCCAAACACTCGGTGCACAGGGGCGGATTTCCTAGTTTAGGGGAGAGCATCCTAATTTTGGATCCTCGTGTCATTCTGACAGTGTTTAGGGCTAGCTGTGGTGCTGGTCCATATTAGACTTCTGCTCTGTTCGAGTCTTCCTGCCCTGATCCCTTGCCTGCTCTCCCGTGCCTGGGCCAGCCTTGCACAGAGTCCCTTCGCTGCCCTATAAACAGGTGTCACCGATATGAATCGGCATCCTTGGTGACCCAGCTCAGCCTTTAACCCGGTGTCTGACAGCTAATGTCTTGGTGCTCTTGCTTCTCTGGAGTTATTACTGCTCCCTTACATTGCATACATGTTCGGGCACTGCCAAACATCCAGGGCCAGCTGTGGTTGTGCAGGCACTCGGACGTCTCCCGCTGTTTGCTGTTGCACTGTCACCCTCGCACCTCCGGGAGCTAGCCTCTTTCCCCAGTAAAGCATAAAGTAAAAATCCCTTCTCCATCTCCTAGTGCAGCTGCTTTTTTCAAGCACCTAAAGAGGCCCTTGGTACAGAAATAGCTAGAAGAGATTTTTTTCTTAGTAGAGAGAGGCTAATCGGGTTGCTATTGCGGATGTTTCTGTGCTGAT